AAAGGCCACCACAGGTTGTCCCACACTGCAGATATTTGGAAAACTGTGCATGATACGTAACCAATATTCCACTGATGTAGAACATGCAGACGATTTCCCCGATAGCGTGGCAAAATACCTTGAGGTAAATCTTTGTTTTTCAGAAAAACAATGAATCCACGGGGGTCCCCTTCACTGTCCGTGTACCTCATCTTGTTTAGTTGAAGAACAATATCCCCTGCAAGACAATCTGAGCCAAACGGTTTCGTGCTTATGTCTTTTTCTTTTTCAGTTGCCTTCAATGCTGCCCTTGTCTTGGTGGCAAATGAATCCAAAGGATGAAGGTGGCAGTTTGGCTCATTAAGAGTTTTGTTCCATGTTTCACTTACAAGAGAAACTGTTGCATGATTTACAAAACACCGATCAGTCAACGTGTTAGAGATATTTCTTATCAGAGCAGATCTAGTATCCTGGTAATCTGAGCCATGGAAGTATGAATGCACATGTGCCAAATTATCAACAGTATCACAAATAAGTGCATGATAATCCCTGGCTGTTCCTCCTGGTAATTCATCCAGTGCTGCTTCGTAACATGCAGAAGGTGTGGTAAAGTGCACAGAATTGACACGAGCACCCTCCTGGGTTGTTGCATCAAAGCCCATGGTTGTGTTTTCATTTTGTATTAAAGCCTCAGCTGTTTGCAGGTCACTAATGCATCCAAGTTCACGTGTCATTGCCTCTACTGTTGTTCGTGATGGCACATTGTCCAGGTTGACACCAGTACGTTTAGAAAACTTTTCTATCAGCGCTGGAATATGTTCTGTGGGAGTCTGGCATCAAACACCATCAGCCTCATTTCAGAACTGTAGGTCTTCCCATCAGTTTTTGTGTTTCACTCCCTGCTGCTTCCTCTAACTTCTCCTCAAGTTTCACTTTGTCATTCTGTAAGCTTGTGATTTCACTGTCCTTTTCTATCACTTTTCCTCAAGTCCTTTCGTGTCATCATCACTGAAATCTTCTGAAAACTTCAGAGACTTTTTATGGTTGTGATGTTTTTTCATCTGCTGCACCTTTTTCTTCAAAAAGTACAGTTCCTCCTTGACTGAGGACACATTTTTCACAAGAGGGGATGTCACCACATGGTTACCAGCTTTATCAAGTTGCTCATTAAGCGCTTGATCTTCTGATTAAGCCTTTTAATTGCAATCCTGTTTTTACTTTGAGCCATGGTTATTGTCAGTCTGAATGCTGTCTTTGCTCGTTGTTGCCTCAGTAAATCCTTACGCAAGTTTTGAGCAGTTTTATGCAACCTTTTGCATGAAGCACACTTAGCTATACTTCTTGTTTTTAAAGGAGATACCTCGACAGGAACACTACTTTCTTGGACCACAGCTGGATTTTTGTCTGGACTGGAAGACTGACTGCACACAGCAGAATCAGCAGAAAGTAACAGGAAACAATCTACACCTTCAGGCACTAAAGAGGATTTTTCATTGCAAATGTCATTAAATCTTTTCAATTCCTTTGGGTCATTCAGCTTTTGAAACTTTTTTGTATTCACAATAAATCTTTTTATAGAATTGAACAAGTGTCGTTCAATGTGAACATCATGTCCGTACTGGTCTGATCTGAAGGAGATAAGCTCATAAAGCTTTTTACTGTCTGTACGGCTGCCACCACACTCCTGTGGAACAGCATGAGAACATGTCCTTTGCTAAAATTAACTGGAGAATCTGGCAAGGACACAAAGTTGTCTAACAAATGTTGTCTCTGTTTTCCTGGACGATGATCCATCTTTTGCTTTTTTTCAGAGGCATCTTGAGTCCGAAAAAACAATAAATAACAAAATTAAATGTAAACGTAGATCAGAAATAAAATAATGAATTCTATTGTATGTAATGTATTATTTAAAATCCATGAAATAAATATTTCTGAAAAAACCATGTGGACATTTGTTTAGAAAACACACACAGACACACACACACACACACACACACACACACACAC